AGACCGACCGACAGAGGCGGGGTCCGAAGCGGGGGACAGTCGCAGAGTCGATGCCTTACCTACCTAGTCGTTGTAGGTGCCCATGCGCTGTATGGAGATCTGCAGCGGTCAAGCCTAGCCTCGAACTGTTGTTGAAGTATTTGACTCGGCATGACCATCGCTTTTGGTTGCAGTACCCGGAAGGCCACGGCTACTATTGACTGTGCACACGAGCTCGGGTCAGCAGCAGGAGATCGCATACTGTTGCTGCCTGCAAGTGGCGACCACGTACCTTCTGCATACTACCGCAGGCTGTGACCGGTTGATTATAACCTACCAAGCAGCGGCAGCTGTGCTAAGGAGGGGCGGCTAGGCTGCAAAGAAGGTTGCCTCCGCAGTGTGGGGGAGTAGGTGTGGAGGGGGGTTCATTGTCGTGATTTGGGAACTCACTAGGGAGTTGCCAAGAAGTCAACAATCCACGGTTGACTCCTGTTGACCAAGTAACCCGACGTGTTTGGCCACCATTGCGGGGCCCTCAGGCGCATCAAGGAATCAAGGCCCTCTTCTGCGAGTCTGAGAGCACCCTCCTTGTATCTGAGAGACTGAACCTTTCTACTTCTGCCCTTCTTTCTCTAAGTCTAGTCTGTTGGTGCTAAGAGGAAGGCGGCAGGCGGGATTGCAACCCGTGATCCGCGCCAAGGCCTTTGTGGGAGGTTCGCCTCACTGATTGCGAGAGCTCTGCCGGAGCCTAAGCGAGGCTCTGGAGGCAGGGAATTGAGAGGTGACCATTCCTTTCCCTCTATATACCCTGACATAACCCCTACTTGTACGTCTTGCTATGTTTGACTGAGTGTACGACATGCACCCCTACTTTGACTTTGGTTTGACTGACATGACACAACTCAGATTAAGTAAAGGAATGTGTGCGCAATCTCAGTTTCGGTTTTTGTTAATTTCCTGAAGGCAGATTGTGAACACAAGGGGTGCATCTGGAGGAAGGGTGGGTAAAAGGTGGTTTTGCTTGAGCGTGGATGGGTCCTATGGGGTCACACCAGTTCCATAAGATTGGACGGTCTGACCGCTGTGCTTTATTTTTGAATTGCATGGAGAGTCAGACCAGTTCCATAAGATAGGACGGTCTGATTGCTCTTAATTGTGAGGGTTGGACTGTGGCTGATTTTTCAGGGGCCAAACCTGTACCATAACATTGGAGGGTTTGGTTGTCATGTTTGATTGGGGTTTGTTCTGTTTCTTTTGTTTCTGATCGAGGAGGTCTGAGCAAGTCCATAAGATTGGACGGCTCAGACCCCGCTCTTGTTTCATTCCGAGGGAGTAATTCTCGCTGAGGGCAGGGCATGTCCATAAGATTGGACGACCTTGGATTCATGCCGCACACAGTGAATCAGAGAGAAACGAACCTGGCAAAGGACCAGATATGTTTCATAAGATTGGACGGTGTGGCCCAATGCCTCGGACATGCTGGAACCCAAAAGGTTAAATTTTGACTATATTTTATACTATCCTATGTATGAACAGGCTAACCAGGCATGGGTTCCATAAGATTGGACGGCCTGGCTATAGTTTATTATGAAATGAAGAGAATATAACTAAGATTATAATTGAAGGTAACCCTGGGCAGGCTGAGCCTTATTCTAAGATGAACGGCTCAGTCCTATGCCCAGTTGTTGAACAACAAGCTCAGAGATATATATATAAGTTGGATATTAAACAGTTTTGTGCGACTAAGCCTTGTTTTAAGATGAGCGGCCTAGTCGTATGCCCAAAAGGAAGAGAGAAGTAGTTGTGCAACCTGTTTGTGTATACTCAATGGCTGAGTCTGGCAAGTTCCATAAGATTTGACGGCTTGACTTTATGCCCTATGTAAGCTGGGTATAAGGGAATAAAGTATCGAGAGATTACGAACTATTGTTTGTAAAGTTTGACCTGGGATGGTGAGAGTACTTACCTTTGTGGGTTGGTCTGCATGAGACTGAGTGAGGCTACTACTTGGTTTGAGTGTCAGATTGACAGGTAGTTGCTTTAGAGACTCGCCTCGTGCTAAAGCGATAGGAGTTAATCCAATTCCTGCATTTTCTGAGGTAAGTTTTTTTTACTTACATCGATTTTCGCATTTTTTGGGATCTTTTGTTATACTTGGCTTTGTATAAATTTTGGTAAGCTACTTTCTCTACGGGAAGCGCTGCCGAAATTTCTGCAAATCCAAGGAGTTAGTCAAATTTTGACTTGTCGAAGTTCAACTTGTCTAAAGTTTATATATAACTTAGTAAAAATATGGAAAGTCCCCTTTTCTAAAGGGAGTGCTGCCCAAATTTTTGCTAATTCAGGGAGTTAGACAAAAAATTGAACTTTGGAAAGTCAAAGATCATTTTTGGTTTCATATTTTGGCTGATATAAAGTATGAGAAGGCACTTTTCCTACGGGAAGCGCTGCGGAATTTTTTCAGATTTAAAAGAGTTAGATTATATTTTGACAGGTGACGATTCTGGCAATCCACCCTGAATAGGGGAGATCCTGCCGTTAGTCTACCTTTGCTTTGGGCACTGGCTTAGAGGTAGACTTAGACCTGGTTGGCAGATAGTCTTGAGTGATAATGTGTTTTGGAGTTCTATTCTCCATGGACTTATAGGTTAGTCTGGGGATTGGCCTGTCTTGTGGTACAGGTCCACTTGACCGTTTGATTCAGGACTTGGACTAGATTCAGTTTGATCCTACGAGGATCATTTTCTGTTATCACTGATATCAGGTCGGTTGCCGATTCGTCGGTCTACGACTCAATTCCAACTCACTCGTCACACCCAACCTAAAAGGCTTTAGCCCTGGTGACTTTATTGTTTGTTGAGGGTTTCACCCGGACTTTTATTGAATGGCCATTTAACAAAGGTACTGAGTATTTAATTATGGTTTGTTGGGCGGGAGACTGGGGCTTGCATGGCTAAAGCAAGGGGTATGAGTGTGGAGATTGGTTGGGGTTGACTCCGTGTAGTGCGTGGTTGCTGCTCGATTCTTTGATGTGATTGCAGGTAAACCCTGTGGCTCGGATTTGGATTTGGGGTTGCCTGCGATCTCATATATGTACTTATGGCTATAAGAAGTCCCACAGTGTCTGTGAGCAGTGATCGTCGCAACTTTATCTCCCCTATGTGTGTATGCTTGGGTGTATTTACTGTGGGGGTTCGCGAGGCCGGGGCCGCGATTACCACATATGACTGGCATCGTTGGTCGGTATGGGACTGGCCAGCAGCCGCACAACCTTATGTAAAAATCCTGCGTTCGATGCTTCGTCGCCCCAACGCCCAGAGGTTATGGGATCGGGAGGCTCGCACGTGGACGCAAACGCTTGAGGTCATTGTAGGCCGTGGGCATCACCCGAGGAGAGAGAGGGTACCCCCAAAGGATCATGACCCTGGCTGGAAAAGAGGGGGCCCTCGGCCCATTTGTCTGCTTTTTAGGGGTTTTTTTTTGTTGGACGTTGTAGTCCGTGGCAACCGTCAAAGTCAAACCCCTTGATGTTTGACCGCCACGACAGCTTAAAGTTGTCTACTCAACCCCTCTGCACAGGGTGCAGAAGAGGGTGTGGTTTTCAACCGCGCATGGCGGTTATCCAGCGCCGAGAGATTAACCCTCAAGGTGCGTGTCAGCCGACACTTGAGTGTCGAATGCGACCCTCGAGATTAACAAGGACCGCACGATTACGGGCACTACATAGTACGCCATCATTGCGACTGCTTGCGTACGTCTACATTGCGAGCCGATATGGGTTAGCCCTGCGTCCACGCAGTTGTATACTAACTCGCGCGCGCGACGCTTGTTTGATTTTCGTGTCGGGAAGTTATGGGTTGGTTGCCGAGGGGCTAGGAGCGTTGTCGCGTTGCTTGTGTTGTGTCGCATTGTATGTGCGTGCGTGTGTGTTTTATTTTTGTGTTCGTAAAGTGGTGTGCGCGTGGTGTGTGGGATGCGTCCTAGTCGACCGACGACGAGTCGCGCTTGGGACCTCAGCCCCCCCAAGATGTCGGTTCGCATGCGGGTCCGATAGGCGTATTACCGCGCGTACCCCCTATGCTACAGCGAACGAGAAACGCCCTCGGCTGGTTCACCTCTGCGATTGCAACCGAGTAGCTTTCGTACTGTTGACTGGTAGCTCGGCGAGGATACGCCCACCGAAGGGAGGTGACAACTCCCGTAAGGTGGAGGTAAGTTGTGCCTCGCGTAGTCCCTATCCTGTCGTAGGGGCTCGCGAGAGGTATGGCTGGCGCACTCGGCCGGAGCGGCCTAAGGAAGCTTCATTTGTGTGTTCGCGACGAGGTTGGTCCAACTCCTGCGTGACGCGGCCGAGAGGGTCCCGCGCTGCCACGTGCGGTGTCGGGCCGATGCGCTCGACAGGTGGCGCCGTTGCCGGGGATGAAGGAAGCCTACCGTTGTCCCTGGTGGATAGACATCAGGGCATGAGAATGAGAGAGAACTAGGCACGCGAGCAAATAAGAGAAGAACTATGAGATGGATCGTATAGTAGTCTATATGGCTGTGTGGGTGTGAATGTTGATCTGATTGGTGGTTTGGCTGATGGCATGAACGAGGAGAGTATGTGAGTGAATTCTGTGATGAGAATGGGTCTTACTTAGGTGAACCCTAGGGAGGTAGGAAGCAGAGAGAGAGATGTCTGCCAGGTCCAGAGCGTCAGGTGCTTAGGTGGTCGGTCCGATAGGATCGTGAAGGAATTGACTGCTGAGTGGAACCTTTCGTCCTATCGCTTCTTATAACAGGGGGATTGAAGCCGAAGGCAGTTAATCAATATGTCTGAGGAGATGGCGAACGGTGGGAGAAAGCTTGTACGCTCGACGACCTCATCGATGCCCTGGATAAGCGCAAGAGAGCGCCGAGCAATGTCACGAAGGTTGATACTTTCCACTTCAAGGGAGAACGGGTGTCCGACTGGCTGGACCTGGCGGAGCAAGCACCGGTGGGGCTGTCGGACGAGGTCAAGCTCCAGCGAGTCATAAGATATGTCCTTCATAGCCACCATCAGGAAGTGGGCAAGGTCGTGGATGCCGCCAATGGTAGTTGGGCGAGGTTCAGGGACATGATGCAGAGAAAGTACAGGTTGGGGGATGGCTTGCTAACCATGGCGGATTTGGAGGCCATGAACAAGGACGACTTCTCCACGATTGGGGCGTTTGTGCACGAGTTTAAAAGAAAGGCGCGAAAGGTGCACGGGATCTCCGAAGAAACGCAGTGTGCCATATTTTTGGGTCTGCTTACTGGCTCGGAGGCCTCGGAGCTGACGGGTCACGGAGGGGGAAATGAGAAACTCACCTGGGCCACTATCGGCAAAGGGGTGGAAGAGGGGAGCCTGGACCAGGTGGAGCAGCACCAGGTGCGGCTGCAAAGGCGCAAGAGAAAGGGAAGGGATGCCACCACGTCCGGGAGCCCAGGGGTGAAGAGGACCGTCACGGACGTATTGGCAGCGCTGGGGTATGATAACGAGGCGGAAGTGCAAAAGAGGGGAGTGATCGTGGCCCAAGGCCGGACGTCGGGGGCAGTCAAAGAGGAGGCTAGGCGTGAGGACTATGGCGGAGAAGAGACGGGCTCCCAGATCCTAACCAAGGCCCAGAGGAAGCAGCGGAATTTACAAGTGGGGGGTCAAGGATCCGGAAAAGGGCAGGTCCCGCAAGCGATTGTTGCGCCGCCACCTGCTGCCACGACAACGTCAGCGACGGTCGAGCCGTCATGTATGGGGTCGCCGCCGGCTTGTGGGCACTGGGTGCCGCATTGTCAGCCTGCATCCTGGCCCAGTTGTAATCACTGCACCTCGTGCGGGGGTAGTCAAACTCACCCCGGGCAAATGGTCCCTTATGCGGGCCCAACAGCAAGTATGGGGCCCCCGAGCTACCCTGCGGCTCAGGGTCAGCTTGTGGCCCAACCACCTCCCTCCCAACAGGCCTCGCAGGCTAGCGTGGCCGGTGGAGGAAACCAAGGACAAGACGGACAAGGCAATAGAGGCCGAGGTCAAGGGGGTCGAGGAGGTGGCGGCCAAGGCCGGGGAGGAAATGGTGGGGGTCGTGGGGGTGGTTGGAATGGTCAAAAGGGCCAGAACCAAGGTGGCCGGGGTGGCCAGGAAGGGGGCCAAGGGTATGGGAGGCCCCGCTTTGATTGGCGAAATGCCACCTGTTGGCATTGTGGCGATGTAGGCCACACTGTGCGGTTCTGCGAGCGGCGGCGGGAGGATGAATTGTCAGGGTTAATCTCCTTCTGTATGGACGGGGATATATATGATAAGTGGGGTGAGCATATCGACCCCAGGACCCCGGGAGGAATCAGGCAAGAGGTTCTCCGACGAGCAGCAGCGGGACCCACAGCACCCCCGACAATGTTTAGGATGTGGCAGGAGAAGGAAGGGCCGACCGTAAGAGTCGAGGAGATTGTAGGGGATAGTGAGGAGGTCACTCAACGACTAAAGGCGGGGACTATAAGGGAGGAGCCAATAGTCGTCGAATCGGATGACGAGGGGCAGGAAGGCGAAGGAGAGCCGGCCATAGTCCTCATGGGGAGGATGGAAGATCTGCTGGAAAAGGTGGGAAGGTACCAGCGGACGTTGCAGGCCCTGTGTGAAGAAGCCCGAGAGTGGGAGGCCAATCTACTTGAGGTCTTCCTCTACGACTCCGGACCTGAGCCTTCGCCAGGACAACAGGGGTACCCAAGAGTGGCGACTGTAGGGACGGGCCCTAGGTCAGGTATGGCCTATAGACCCCCCACGTCGCATGGGAGGGTGCCGCAGGCGGCTCGGACTAGGAGCCAAAACAAGGCCGGGCCTAGCCAAAAGCCCAGTCAGGCACCCCCTCGAAAGGAGTCCAAGCCAGGACGTAGGAAGGAGGTGGTGGAGGTCCCGGAGGAAGAGGAAGAGGATGACGACGAAGAGGATGAGAGGCTCCGACAAGAGGAGGATCAGCGGGCGGAGCTGAGGGCCAAAAATAGATATATAGTATAGTTGAATTCAAAATGTAATAAATGCTTTATCAAACGAATTGTATTATAAAAAATATGGTTTCTTAAAATCAAGAAATCAGAATGAATATATTCAATAGAATCATTCTCATATTATTACAATCATATTCTTCTTGAAATTAGAAGAAATAATGGGGAGGCCGAGCCAAGCCTACGCGACAGCGTACCTAAGAGGAAGAAGTACGCGGTCCGGATGGAGGAAGGTTTTGATGTGGAGCGGATGGTGGACAAACTCCTGGAAGGCCACAATGACTTGATGAACCTGAAGGATATCCAAGCGCCTGGGCCAAGGCTCCGTGGGGAGTTGAAAGGACGACTCTCGCGAAGATTGGTGCCAAATGTCCATCTGAGTACGGTCCTGCCCAGGGAGGTGGAGTGGATGGAGGCAGGGACAAAGATGGATTGGAAATGTGTGGCGTGCGGGCAGGTGGATCTGGTGATAAAGAATCAGAAGTGCACTGGGATGGTGGACACGGGCGCAAAAATGAATATCATCAGGGAGAAGGAGGCGGTGATGATAGGCATGGAGATCGACCGCTCGGACCATGGCATGCTGCATGGCGCCAACTGCAAGGCCGTTTTTTGCAGCACGGCGTCTAATGTGATTATAGAGATTGGGAAGGTGCGAGCCAGGACGTGCTTCTTCGTCATGCCCGATGTCGATCATCCCATCCTTCTGGAAAGGTCGTTCCTGTGTCGAACGGAGATGTTGATTTTTAATAAGCACGACGGGACAATGATCCTGCTCCTATGCGACCCAGCGTGCGGGAACTACGAAGTTGTCACCTGCCGAAACACGGGGCCGGGGAGCGGGAGGAACATGCCTAATCTCGGCTCATTCACCTTCGAGGAATCGGAGAACGAGCGAAGACGGCTTTGGGAAGTGCACGAGGAGGAGGATAAGGCTGAGGTGCTGACAATGAGCCTCACAGATGTGAATAAGGTCATGGAGGTGGTGTCCGCTCATGACATGGCGGATCCGGAGGCCATTAAGGCATTGAGGAAGCAGGTTTTGGAGAACCCTCAAGTGGGAGAGGTGGAGTTGGTGTATCGGCTTTCGGGAGGGGGAGGAGGCCCTGCAATGGCCCAGGCCCGAACGACAAGTCAGCCTTTTTTAGGGGAGGGCTTAAGCAGGGCTCCCAAAGGCGGTACAAGACCGTAGATAAGAAGTGCCGCCCAGTTCCCGTGCTCGTCACGGAGGATGAGGAAGCCTACTACGAGCGGGAACGAGGATTGATACGGCGTATGCGGGAGCACGCGTTGGTCGGGCCGTGGTGTATCAACGACGAGAATGAGGGGAAGTTGATAATCGGGGAGCCCGACTTCCTGTCGCCCCAGGAGAGAGCGTTGATGGTGGGACTGATGAAGAAAAGGCACCGTGCGTATGTGTTCAATGACGACGAGCGTGGGAGGCTAGATGTGGATAAGATTCCGATGATACGAATCCACACTGTTCCACATGAGCCATGGAATCTAAGAGGCACACGATACCCAAATCCGGATGAGGAGAAGAAGGTGGTGGACTACCTGGACGGCAAGATGCGGACGCACGTGGCCGACTATTCCAGTGGACCGTATGCGTCGCCTTGGTTTTGTTTTATTAAACCAAATGGGACGCTAAGGTGGGTGCAGGACTTGCAGCGGCTAAATGTGGTGACAGTGCGGGACGCGGGAGGGTTGCCGAACACGGACGCATTGTCAGAGTCGTGCGTAGGGAAACCTATAATCTCGCTTATAGACCTCAACTCGGGGTACGACAAATTCTCCGTATACCCGCCAGACAGGCCCGTAACGGCGATGCACACACCCAGAGGTTTTATTCACATGAACATGGCGCCTCAAGGTTGGACGAATGAAGTAGCGATGGTGCAGAGGCATATGATCAGAGCCATGCAGACGGTCAGCCCATATATCACCCAGCCCTATATCGATGACCTGGCGGTCAAAGGTCCGAAGGAGAAGGAGGAAGACGAAGTGATACCCGGTGTGCGGCGCTTTGTCTGGAAGCATGTTCAAGACATCGATCAGGTTCTAGGGTTATTGGAGAAACATAACCTTACGGCGAGCGGCCCCAAGTCGAAACATTGTATGAGGGAGGCCATGATTCTAGGTTTTTTCTGTAATGAGAGTGGGTGAAGGCCTGACGTAAAGAAAACAGACAAGATTCTTGAGTGGTCGGTGCCCTTCCGCTTGATAACGGATGTGAGGAGCTTTCTTGGGACGTGCGGATTTTGGAGGAGCTTCGTGAAGGACTTCGCCACGAAGGACGAGCATTTAAGGAAGTTGGTGCGCCAGGATCAGGAATGGGTCTGGGGCGAAGACCAGGAAGAGGCGGTCGGTAGGATGAAGGGAGAGTTTAAGGAAGGAGGCTTGGTATTGGGAGCGCCAAAGTACGAGGCCACGGAGGAGAGACCATTCGTCATTGAGACGGACGCTGGGCCAACTGCCTTGATTCAGGCAGATACTGGGGGGAAGGAGAGGCCGCTAAGATTCGAAAGTCGCATCCTCAATACAACTGAGAGAAACTACTCTCAGTTCAAGAAGGAGACGCTGGCGGTACTTCATTGCCTAAGGACCTTCCGGAACTATGTTTTTGGTAGGAGGCTCATCTTGAGGGTGGACCCTACTGCACTGGCATGTTCCCTGAAGAATTGTACTCCATCTGACCCAACCGTCGCCAGATGGTTGACCTACATTTGGATGTTTAATTTCAAGTTGGAAAGGATCCCAGGGGACAAGAACAGGGCGGATGGGTTAAGCCGCATCAACTGGGACGGATCAGACGAGGAATCGATAGAAGACACCCCACCAGTTGATAGGTTCTTGGATCAAGAGGAGGACGTCCGCCTGCACATAAACGAATGGTCCCTGCGAGTGCCCTGTTGCGTCAGTCACCCCATATGGCTAGCACCAAAGGGGTACGAGCAGAAGGAAGAGTTGGTCCTCAAGCCCTTTTCAGGAGGAGGATCCGTGGGGAAGTAAGGATGTTGGTTGGATGATGAAGTTGGCGTTGGCAGGAACGCACAGTCTGGTGGAGGAAGTGAAGACAATAGAGGAAGACCCCACTCAGGTAGAGGAGCATGAGCAGCTAATGGGAGGGATGTACCTGCTCACCAATATTCTCCTGCAAGGAGACTTCGACCGGAAGGGCTCGTTCAGTCATGAGGAAGGTGAGATTTTAGTTCATGAAAGTCAGGACGACGAATTCGAGGAAGGAGAAATCAAGGAGGCATTTCGGGCGGAGGAGTATGATGGGGTCTACCGGGAATTGGGGTTGCTTCTATCATGTGAGATGAGGGATAGAGATGTAAGTGCCAAGGCACAAAAGATGAGGCACCTCTATGTGGTAAGAGACGGCCACTTGTTTATAACGCGGCAGGTCGGGAACCCCAAGAGGATCGTATGTGGGAAAAACCGGCAAACCGATATCATAGCAGCCCTACACGATGGTATAGCAGGAGGGCACAGAGGAATAAGTGCCACATGTGCAAAGATAAGCGAGCTCTACCATTGGGATGGGATGCTGATGATGGTTATCAAATACTGTCAGTCCTGTATACCTTGCCAAGAAAGGTCAGCGCAAAGGTTTGGGGAGCCCCTACACCCAAGGTTGGAAAGGGAAGTGGGTGCGGTCATACACTTGGACCTGTTATTCATGCCAGCAGGGGAGAATGGGTGTAACTACATCTTCGATGCACGGGATAACCTTACTGGGTTTGTGGACGGACGAGTTATCCAGACGAAGACTGACTCGGTTTTGGCGAACTGCATCGAGGAGTATTACCTGCGATATCCTTTTGTCAAGGAGTTCGTGATGGATCGAGGATCAGAGTTTACCTGCAATGAGGTGAGGACGTTGCTTGCAAGGTATGGCGTAGTGGCCAACTATACTACGGCCACGCACCCTCAAGCGAACGCTCGTGTGGAGAGGGGGCACAGTACCATAACGAATCTCCTGGCTAAGTGGACAGAGGGCAAGCCTGGTCAGTGGCCAAAGTTCCTACGGGCAGCTTTCTTCGTGGAGAATGTTATTGTAAAGAGGACTACCAAGTACGCGCCAGCCACACTATGGTATGGGAGGCACGCCACCTTTCCCATAGAAAGTTTTATGAAGACGTGGAGGCGCCAAGACTTGGAAGTAAACCTGTCCTTCAAAGAACTGCTCGATATTCGGGCGCGGCAAGTGGGGGCGGCCGAGGAAAGATTGCGAGAGGCCGCTGGTCAGGTAGAGAGGAGCCGCATGGAAGACAAGATGAGGTGGGACCAGATGGCGCGAGTAAGGAAGGAGTTGTTGACAGTGGGGGGCGTCGTGTTACTGTACGACTCCTCTCTGGAGAAGCAATGGTCGAGGAAGCTCGACAAGAGATGGATGGGCCCCTATAGAATTTTGTGATGTGGCGAATTTGGGGCCTATCAGATCGAGGAGCTGGACGGGACAAGCTGGCAGGATTGGGTATCAGGGACCAGGCTGAAGAAGTTCGTGGTTAGGGAATATGTAAAGGACTCTACGTTCTCTAGAGTGAACTAATCCTTGATGTATTGCATATTACGGCTAGGGTAGATGAAGGAATAGGAAGAGGCATGTGTGTTATCATAAAGGTTGATGGGATGATGGCTAACCCTGTTGTGTGCCTGCTTGCTTTCCCTCGCCTGTTGTGCAGGTCTGACTTTTCGAAGACAGTCATGCAGAGGGGCGGGAGGGGCGCGCGGCCACGACAGAGGCCTGAGGGAGCATCAGGAGGGGATGACTTGCACAGACCGTTTGGGAGGGAGTCTACGCCTATCTTCGACGACGATAACACAGAGCTTTTTCTGGACTCCTACCAGGCACATGCGGCACGGGAGGGCTGGTCTACCTTGGAGAGGATACGGCATTTGAGGGGAGTTGGGCGTTTTGAGGAGCCCATCGCACATATTCGGGAGGAGGCGTTGACCTGGCAGGATGTGGAGGCGAGGATGCAGATGTTGAGGGCTTCGCCGCTGGGACCAGATGGGCTGCCTATTCGGTTGGAGGAAGGCAATGCGGAGGAGTTCATCCCTGCCTACGAGCAGTATATGTGCGACCAGGGGGCTGGGCAGGAAGAGTGGATGCAGACGTTGCGCCTCTAGACGCGGAAGGCGGAGAGACCGATGGCGAGGCAGATTCGAGATAGGGCTCGTGATTGGGAGGACTGCCAGGCTCAGCTGAGACAGGCATTTCGACGACTGGAGCCCGAGAGACCAGAGCCCAGGGTGGAGAGACGACAGAGGAGTAAGAGGCCACGGGGCCCAGAGGCGAGAGGAGCCACTACGAACAGAGGGGGCCGAAAGGCCTTGGCACAACGAGAGGGGCCAGCAGAGGCCGCCCAAGCGGTGGAGCCAGTTCAGGCCGCGGGACCAGCTCAGGCGGCGGGGCTACCCCCTACCTATGGACTCGAGCGGAGGGAGTTTCGCCGAATTACGGGCAGTGATCTATGGAGCCCGTCGCCGACATTAACAGAGGGGGGAGAGGCGGTGCCCTTGAGGACGTCGCTCGACAGGTTAGAGGCTCATCTCGATGCCCCAGTGGGGGGCGTCACAGCTGGGAGCGGACCAGAGCGGACCGGCATGGTATGAGCCAGTAGAGGATGAGCCAGAGGAGGAGCCACTTGAGCCGGGGCCTGAGGCGGGGCCTCGTGGACCCGAGGAGCCGCAGATTGAGGGGATTATCACTGTTGGGGATGATACCCCTCCTCCTGCCACGATTCCAGAAAAGGCACGGCAGTATTGGCCTGAACGAATTCCTAAGCCGGATAGCGAGGAAATGTTGGGGCCTCCATCGGAAACTACTATGCCACCTCCGACGCTGGCGGAGCCAGAGGAGGGCGAGAGAGCGAGGATACCTACTACTATGGTACCACATCTAACTGAGCCTACAGGTGAACGCATGGATGTGGAGGTGCCGACATCCGGGGAGCCTCCGCTAGGGCCGCCACCCATAGAGGAGGGGACGAGTGAGAGAGACTCACTGCGAGAGGCCCATGGGGCGCGGGCAAGGAGGCCATCAGGGGAGACGAAAGAAGAGAAGCGCGCGAGGGTGCAGGTACGCCTCGAGGAGTTATACCAGGAGAAGATTAGGATGTAGGTCGCAGGAGAAGCGTCGAAGCCACCGATTGACCCTCCGACAAGCGAGCAGAGGATTAGCGAGGCCTAAGCCAGCTATGAGGGTGAGAGGGATGCTGCTCGCGTGAGGTCACGAGAGGTGGGACAGGACAATGCGAGGGTGGACGAGGCACGAGAGACAGGGGACTTGGGGCTTTCAGCTGCCAGGATGGAGATTGAGCGTGCAGATAGGAGGATAGGTGAGGTGGCGATCTCGTCCTTCCAATGGTACTCCATGCTCAGCGATGAGTTGGCGGCCTCGAGGTTAGAGGTGGGACAGTTGTCCACCCAGTTGGCAGAAGAGAGGGCAGAGAACCAAGCACGGAGGTCCCGTATGGAAGTCAAGGAAGTTGAATGGGAGAAGAGGCTCCAGGACATGGCGGCGATGGTGGAAAGGCTCTCGGCCACTAAGGTGGTCGACTGGACGGAGCAGAGCCGGTATGGTATCCAGGGGAAGGAGGTACAGGGGCTCTTTGGCCGGGAAGGGACGACAGAGCCACCTCAGCAAGGAGGTATGGGGAAGGTATTCCTGGACCCAATAGAGGCGGCAACAAGGCGGGAGGCCGAGGAGGGGAGGTTCAGCTTCAGGATGCCCACGGAGTTGGCCTCGCAACAGGCCACCCCTATGACGATTGAGATCCCTGAGGGCGAGCCGGTGCAGAGACCCTAACCTCCAGTGGAGGAAGTGGGCTCCACAGAGGAGTCCCCTACGATCCTTTTGGAGGTGCAGGAGGGTGCCCTTACGGGAGCAGCAGCATCCACTGAGTCGGAGGCAATGGGGGGAGAGGAGTCTCGACTGGATGAGTTAGTGGCAGCTATGGAGTTGGACATGCCGTCAGGAGGGCCTCAGAGACAGAAGACCCCAGAGCGTGTGCCAGAGATGGGGGGGCTGAGGACGCAGTTAGGCTCTTGGGCTACTGGAGCTGACTCAGGAGAGCACATCTCAGAGCAGCAGCAGGAAGTTATGAGCGAGCCAGCAACTGTCGTGACTCCCCATCCTTCTGACCTGCATAGGGACGAGGGGGCGACTGTGTTGGGAGGAGTCCGCGAGGGTAGGCCACTGAGATTGGACACTCCAGCGTACCGACCCGAGGGAGATGAGGTGCTAGCAGGGCCGAGTACCCAGATGATGGAGGCAGGGCCGGCAGAGTCATAATGTATGCCCCAGAGCCATGAGATGAGCAGGGAAACTGGAGAGACGCCGTCGTTGCCTGGGTCCCTGTACCCAGAGGTCGGGTTAGGGATGTACGTACTCTGAGTCGGTTGAGTGGGTCCTAAGGGGTGTGCACGTCTGAGTTCGCCGTGGGAGTCCTGTCTAGTTGTACATACATAGGTGGCAAGGCTCAATCGGTCATTGGGTTTTGTGTGTGATACAGTTCAGAGGGTGAGATTCAGTTGTGAGATACCTGTGACTGTGTGATTTGTACATTAGGTTTGGAGGTTTGAAAACTTTCTTTACATTTCTGATTGGATCCTGAGAGCCATAACATCTGGGGTGTGAGTCCACCCTGTAGAGTGTACAGGGAACTGAGTGTTGAGTTGTTCACTGGGGCGGGCATCCTATTCCTAGGTATATCCTAGGAATTGTGTGTGTGAGAGCTTGAGTTGAGTGTTATATCGAGACTTGAGGGAGATATTTTGCTCCCGAGTATATTTTGATTCCACCCTCTGCGGGATTTACTCTTGTGACGATCACGATCACTCTCACACGTGTGGCTTTATCCCAATGAATGAGGGCTTTGTGTGAGAGATGTGTGGGATACATCTCATGTATGTGTATTGTGTGATTGTGATTGACGTCTACTCTTCAGTATACTCGTGCGGCCTGCCCATGGGCGGGTGAAATGACCGAGTATAAGAGGAGGCAGCGCGGCTGTTTGGTGACAGATGTGTGAGGACCCTAAGGGGTCTTGCGAGCCTATAAGACTCGAATGCTTACCATGCCGGATGTTTATGGCTAAGTTGTAAAAGGGACCCATAAGTTGGTCCCCCAGTTCGAGTTGTTTTGCGTATAAGTTGACAAAGAGGACCCTTAAGTAGGCCCTCAGTGATTTGCTCTATGGTGGAAGCCCCCTTCAGATTATGGAAGGTGGGAATGCTGGTTAATGACGGTTATATAACCGAGGTCGCGTGATAGTCCATCCTATGAGAAGAGAGGGATGACTGGGAGACCTATTAAGAGAGGCCCCCTTCATGTGAAAAGTGGGTAATGGATTTAATGACATGGTAAGCAATGTTTGAGTGATAAAGTCTGACGAGAGGAACCAGGGTTACAAGTTGGAACCGAGAAGGTCGCAAGTCAGTGCATAAAAATGTCATGGGATATGTGGTCTGTTGCCTCTGATCAAGTCAAGTAGGCCACGACCCGGTGTGAGTCTAGCGGTGAATCTGTTTGTGATTGTGAAAAGGAGGTCACGCTTCCTATGTATCCCATAGGGAGCTGGTGAACGCCTTTAAAGTGAGACAGACCCCTGCGTAGTCCCGCAGTGGGTCTGTGGTCTGTTCTGCGACGCACCGTCTAGACACCTTTGCTAACCCTAAGGCATATTGAGGAATACCAAGCTAAACGGTAAAGGTTAGCACCTCTAGGGCGCAACCCCTATTGGATGGCTGCAAGTCAGCACAACCTGGCTGCGAGTCCACGTCTACCAACGGGGTAAGAGCTTAAGGGGTTATGCACGCCTCGGGGAAATTACTCCGGTGGGATGGCGGGGGATACGGTCGAGTCGTTTGGGCGCCCTGATTGAATGCCTATCAGGAGAAAACCTATCGTTGCATAACCAACGAAGGGACTGCCGCTAAGATAACAATGCGGTAGGCCGTAGATCTGGCTCGATCAACCAGACTATGGTGGGCCAGGATGGAGACCTAGCGTTTCTGTACTAGACTGCAGAAAGAGTTGAGAGGAGGTTTACGTATATATATATATATATATATATA